AGCAGCTCACGAAGGGAATCGGGGCCCCTTCCTTCCCTGTAAGCCAGGCCACTCACATTGCTCCCTTCTCCGTTCCTCCCTGTGGGCCCTACGAGGAGGAGACCAGGTTTTTCTCATGCCCCTGGTGGAGACAGACTCTTGAGGGAGAGGAGGAACAACCTACAGGGAGTAGGAGGGTGGCGATCCGGAGGTGGTTGGAGGAGGAGGAGGCCGCTTGGGCAGTCCGAGGAAGACCGAGGCCCATCCCTTCTCCATCCTAGGGCACGCCGGGAGGCGAGATAAAGGGAGAGGTGTGGTCTTACTCGAGAGGAGTGGGCCTTGAGGCTCTTCGTGGGATGACTGAGTAAGAGGACGGATCAGCGTACGGGCGAGCGCTGGAAACAACGCAGGGAACTATCTCTAGTTTATCATCCCTGTCTCGAGTTTGCCTTCGTTCCCGGTGTGTGTTTCATTCTCCGTCGACGTCCTCCAGCCCTTATCTTGTTTTTATCATTTCCTCCTTCTTGTAACTGTTTGTGGGGGAGTTTTTTTTATGTCTTCCGTCAAGGATATTTGGAGCTTGGGAGCCAAGCGAAGGAATTAAACGGGGATTTCCCTGTTTTTTGCGGGACTGGGTTGATGTTGTCTCCTCCCCGGGTCGTCGCAGTCTTCCTCGTAAATCCGCGCTCCCTTGTTCGACCTCTCCCCTGCTCTGCCCGGCCATATTTTTTGCCCCTTTTCCCTCAGTTTCTTCCTCAGTCCACGGAGCCACGCCCTCCCCGCTCCCTGTCGGCGGCTCGGCCTTCCCCCTCCGAGTCCGATCCCGACCCCTCGCTTCTCCGTTTTTTTTCTTTTTCTCCACGCTTCTTACCTTTCAGGCTTTCGCAGTTGAAGCGGTGGTAGACGCCGCGGGACTCCAGCCGGACGTAGACGCCCTTCGGGGTCTTCTGGTGGCTGACGACGGTGAAGGTCTCGTAGGGCGGGATGATGACTTCCAGTTGGTACGGGCGCAAGGTGAACGGCGAGATGGGCACGCCGTGACAGGTGCGGATGGAGAAGAAGGTGTCCTCGCCGAAGCCTTGCGACACCTTTTGGATCATGGAGGAAGAGGTGAACTGTCCGAAGCGCACCACCTTAGCGGGAAGGGTGAAACGGACGCCGTGGATCCCGCGGTAGACTTCGTAGCAAGCGGGCCCCGTCTTCATGGCCTGGAGGGCCCGATTGAGGAGGAGGAAGTAGTCCTTGAAGGGGAAATGGACGTAAGCGTGTTTGGATCGCCCGGCTTGGCGTACGGCCGCGTTGAAATCGCTGTAAAAGTGGTCTCCGATGGTGTAGGCCATCAGGGCGGTGGCGTACATCCGGTTGAAGTTGCCGAGGGCGTGGTGGCCGAGTTCGGCCACATGCGCGATGGCCGTTTGCCAGGTTTTGAGGTATTTCTTGGGGAGGGGGACGTAGCCCGGCTTCTGGAGTTTGAGCTCTCTCGCGGTGACACAGCCGTTATACGGGTCGTCCAGCGAATCCTTGGCCATGTCGAGGGGAATCTTTTGCAGACACGAGACCTGTCCGAAGGCGAAGAGAAAAGGTGGGAGGACATGACGGAGAGAAAAGAGACCCTGAGGTGTCTCAGAGTCGGCTCCGCCCAGGTTATGTCCGACATGATCCCTCCTAATAAATCGATTCTTTGTTTTTTGAAACTCCGACTGATGCGGCGAGAGACTTACGATTCGAACGAGGGGGTTTGGATTGTCGGAGCCAAAACTAAGACCCATCCCTCATTTCCCCCATGACCCCTTTCAAGAGGCAAGAAAATTTTCCTGTCCTGCACCCCTCCTCCCCACCGTCCGCCCTCCATCGGAGTCCGAATCCGAGGAGGACGCCGAGAATCTTGACAGGGAGCGAGGAGCGTGGCTCCGTCGACGGAGGAAGAAACCGGCGAAAGGGGGTAAAGTCCAGCTGGGCCGAGTAGGGAAGGAGACCGAGTTCAGAGGGAGATCCAGGCCCCGCCCACACCGCTCTACCTCCTAGGAATGGAGGAAGGGAGCAACGTCGATCTGGCGGCTTACAGGGGGAGGAGAGGGCCCTGATCCCCTTCCGATCTGGGAAGGAGAGTTTCGAAAGAGATGCAAGCCGAGGGCGGAATCTTCTGGGGAAACCGACGTGAGTTTATCTTGGTTTGTCGGCGTTCCCGGCGTCTTCTCAAACCCTTGTCGAACGACGGCCGTGCCCTTCCCGTCTGGAATTTTTCCTCCTGCCCCGCCAGACTCATGACCTCCTTTTGACCTTGGTTGGACTTGAAGTTCTAGTTTGGGTTGACCTTGTTTTGGACTCGAGTCCTCGGCAGCCCAAAGGCTGTTTGACCTCAGAAGAGTTTTTGGTTTTTCCCCCTCCTCCAGCCCAGAAGGTAACCAGGACATTTTGGGGAGACGGGACGGGACAGGGAGGAGGGCCAAGTTTGGAGCGAATCAAGGGACTCCGAGGGACAATTTGATTGGCTGGCCTTGCCCCCCCCCCCTTGGGGTCCCTTCCCCTGGGCTGCTCGCTTTCTACCTGCAAAGGGGCAGCGAGGCATCCGATCAGGAACAAGGCCCGGAGCCCCCGGACGGACGGCATCTTCCTGGCGACTCCTGAGAAGAGACAAAGGAAGAGAAGGGAAGCGTGGGCATAGGGTGTGTGGGGGGGGTGAAACTACCTACTATCTTGATACAATGGGGAGCAAGTTCAGTCCCGCCTGTCCAGGGAGAAGGGTTGGAGAGCTCGGGGTGGACAGGACAAAGGTCCTTGGGGGCTCTCGGAGTTGAGTGGGAGTTGTTGGGGTTGGGGTTGTTGTTTTTGATTTTTTGTTTTGCAGATGTCTGGTGACCCAGCTAGGGAACATCATCGGGGCTACAGGAGAGTTGGGTGGTGTAGAAGAGGAGGAGGAGGAGAAGGAAACGCCTGCAGGGAAAACCACTCAGCTCCGAGAGCACCAAGGAATCCCACAGTGCTTCCTCCTCCTCCTCCTCCTCCTCCTCCTCCTCCTCCCTCCTAACACTGACGCTGTTCCCTAGTTGGCTCATGAGACGTCTGCAAGGAAACCACCCAGCTCAGAAAGCTCCAAGGATCCCACAGTCTGTCCTTCCTTCCTCCCTCCCTCCCTTCCTTCCTTCCTTCCTGTTTCTTTCCTCCTCTGCCCTTTCTCCGTTCCTCCCCTCGTGTCTTATTTTTCTTCTCTTTCCTTTCTTCTTGCCCCCTCCCTCCATTCCTCCTTTCCCCTCCTTCCTTCTTTCTTTCCTCCCTTCCTTCCATCCTTCCTTTCCTTCCTTCCTTCTTTCTTTCTTCCCTTCTTTCCTTCCTTCTTTCTTTCCTCTCTTCTTTCCTTCCTTCCTTCCTTCCTTCCTTCCTTCCTTCCTT